TAAAAAAAACACCCCACAAAAAAATATTAGCCAATAAAATGTATATCGCTTGTTTATTAATTAATATTAATAATGGAGCAACAATTACAGGTGTGGCTATTGGAGCAGGTTGGCAAACATATGTAGCTTACATTAACATAGTATGCTACTATGTATTTGGGATTCCTTTGGGTCTTATTTTTAACTTTTCCCTCGACATGGGTGTTAAGGTATTGTAATCACTCTCCTTCTCTACAATAAAAACACAACTTATATTGGACTAATAAAAATGGATATTTATTTTTCGAAAATCTAAAGTACAAACTAATCTCTGTTCTTCTACTCATTCAGTATTGACTTGACATAAGGAGAAATAAATAGAATCATAATTTTATTACATTACCTTTTGAATATAATAAATTCAAACATTAAGAAATGACTATAATTAATAAAAAAGGTAAATTAGGAACAAAATGATAAATTATTTCTTGATTTTTCAAATTGGACAAGTAAAAGTGAATATATATATATTTGGTATATTAGACAGAGAGAGTATTTCATTAAGGTTAAGGGGAATATTAAAATCAAGTTATTTCTAATTATAGAAAGATACTGTTCCATGTATATCCTTGACAGAGGGAAGGAACTTTTAAGTTAAGTGGATGGAGGCATTAAAGGTAAAAGGAAATTTTAAAATTAAGTAGACAGAGACATATTTTATCACGATCCGATTCACTGGGCCGTGCAAGCACCTACTCTAACACCTAGGTAGGAGAATCGTTATCACACATACAATCATGCACGATCACAAACATCATGAACAATAACACTTCCACAAGTAACATAACTGATTCATTATATGAGATTATCAACTTATTATCATTATATATGCATTCATATATTCTCCCCATTATACATACCCATGTGATACAACAAGCAGTAAACATAAATACCTATATCTATTGGACAACACAAATCATCCTAACAAGGAAACTCAAAGCTAAACAAGACTAGAGAGTCACCCCTAGCCATTATCTCATCTCGTGCTTT